CACAAGGATGATAAAACATCAAAACATCTGGGTGTCCCCTGGGCACCGTCCTTGCAGATGGCGAACTCTCTCACACCAGAAGCGACTTACAGTTTCTCAAGTCACTCCTGACACGACAAAAAAAAAAGCATGGCCACCAATAAAGCTAGCAGACGGTTCTGGGAACTATAGTCCACAAATAACATTCCCAATTTGTGTTTATGTGTTAATTTATGAATTTAGCAAAGAAATAGAAAAGATAACACTAAAATGTCAGAAGATCAGAATATATACTCAAGATGACCAGTGTCCACCAGTGCCATTTCCACCTCCTTCCATTTCTGCCATCACGTTTATGAAGCAAACTAGGGAAGCCATTCAAACTAGCAGAAAATGAGAGCCCTTCACAACCCAAGGAGCTTATTATGAACCTGCCTAGTTATTAATATCTTGGGAGGCAGCCTCTTGAAGATGCCGCTGCCCACAAAGCCCTTTTGTCCGGCACACAGGAAAGAGCTTTCCCTGGGTGGCTCGCAGGATGTGGAATGCATTGCCTCCCGAATTAGGATCGTTTTTGGCTTTAAAGCTGTTGAAATGTATCTCCTTAACTTCACATTTTACTTTATTTTAGTGTGCTTTTATTTCAATTGCTGGGTTTTGTTTGTTTTTTTTACTTTATAGTTTTATTTTGGAATTGTTCACTGCCTTGGTAGCACCTTGCAAGAACAGAGCAGAATTGTTTTTGTTGCTGGACATTAATATTAAGAAGAAGAAGAAGGAAAGCTTTGAATGTATTGTCGAAGACTTTCATGGCCGGAATCACTAAGTTGTTGTAGGTTTTTCAGGCTATATGGCCATGTTCTAGAAGCATTCTCTCCTGACGTTTCACCTGCATCTATGGCAAGCATCCTCAGGGGTTGTGAGGTCTGTTGGAAACTAGGAAAAATGGATTTATTTATCTACTAGCCATCCCCTGCCACATGTTGCTGTGGCCCAGTCTGTGTATATGTGTATATATGTGTGTATGTGTATATATGTATGTTTGTGTATATATGTGGGTTTGCACATACGTTGTAATGCATTTTTTTGGCTTTTTAAGTCCCTTCTGCTGTGTTTTTTTGAATGATGATCACTTGTTGGCCTGATAGGTATATTGTGTCCAAATTTGGTGTCAATTTGTTCAGTGGTTTTTGAGTTATGTTAATCCCACAAACAAACATTACATTTTTATTTATATAAACTAGCCGTCCCCTGCCATGCATTGCTGTGGCCCACATGGGGGTTCTGTGTGGGAGGTTTGGCCCAATTCTATTGTTGGTAGGGTTCAGAATGCTCTGTGATTGTAGGTGAACTATAAATCCCAGCAACGACAACTCCCAAATGTCAAGATTCTATTTTCCCCAAACTCCATCAGTGTTCACATTTGGGCATATTGAGTATTCGTGTAGAGTTTGGTCCACATCCATCATCGTTTGAATCCACAGTGATCTCTGGATGTAGGTGAACTGCAACTCCAAAACCAAAGGATACCCTTCCAGAATTTTCTGTTGGTCATGGGAGAACTGTGTGCCAAGTTTGGTTCAATTCCATTATTAATGAGGTTCAGAATGTTCTTTGATTGTAGGTGAACTACAAATCCCAGCAACTACAACTTCCAAATGACAAAATCAATTTTTGAGTGAATGACATGCATTGGGTTGTTAGGTGTCTTGTGTCCAAATTTGGTGTCAATTCATCCAGTGGTTTTTGAGTTTTGTTAATCCCACAAACGAACATTACAGTTTTATTTATATAGATGGAAGGCCCAGGGTGGGAGAAAGAACTCTTGTCTGTAGGAGCTAGATGTGAATGTTTCAATTGGCCACCTTGATTAGCATTTGATGGACTGGCAGTTCTTAGGTGTGGCTTGTTACTGTCTGGGGAAATCCTTTGTTGAGAGGTGATTAGCTGTCCCTGATTGTTTCTTGTCTGGAATCCCCCTGTGTTTGAGTGATGTTCTTTATTTGCTGTTATAATTTTAGATTTTTTTAATACTGGCAGCCAGATTAAAAACTTTGATTATTGCCAGATTAATTTGAAAGAGAGAAGGAGGAGGGTGTAGTTATTGAATGTAGATATGAAGGAAACTCAGGCCCAAGGCTAAAAATATAATAAGAGAGTGGCCTAGAGGTATTATGGGAGAGGGAGGGAAACATTTATAAAATTTAAACAACATCTAAAAACAAATGTTATATCTGAGCAATGTCCCCATCAAAATGTTTCCAAATTAAAACATGTAAAGTGTTGTGTGGCCATTGGCTATTCCTGGGCTAGGACAGTCTGACCACCCAAGCAGCCATGGACATAAATGCATCCGTGAGTCCAGTGCCCATTGCTCTGGCAGCAGTGGTGAACTGGAACAAAACAACTGGTATAATTGACAAGGAAGTGAAGAACAAAAGTCCTGTCCTTTCTGATTTATTGCTCTGGTCATGTAGTGGGGGTGGGAAGGAAGCAGGAGACCACCGTTTCTCTTTTTCCTTGATCTCAATGTTGTTGGAGCGCTTAGTTAGAATTTGGGGAATTAGACTGATGGTGCGGAAGGATTTTATGTAAAAATGTGGGCTGTTAGCTATGTCCATCAGGATTAACTAGGTAATATGCAGCTTCTTTTAAACTTACAGCTCTACCATGCATGTATAACAGTATGCCTTAAAAACAAAAAAGCCGAAATCAGGCAGGTGCCTTATCATATCAAGATTGTTTCATCATAGTTTGTCATTTCCTCCTCTGTGACTGAGTAGTATTCCCAATCCCTTTCTCACTTTTGTCCCTAAACTGTTGAGAGGCATGAATTCCCTTGATTTTTCCATACAGAGACATAGATGCACACATAAATACTAGGAATGGGGGAGGATGAGTTGATCTTTCCTCAAAGCTTGACAAAAGGAGATCAGCTGCACGTAGCTGGGACAAATAGCTTTCGGCCTCTTAACCCTCCCTAGCTTTGCAAAGTATCCTTGCTCCTGCTGTTGCCATTGCTGGGGCTTTAGGTAGTCTTTCAAATTGAAATCCTTTTGGTGGTGGCTAGGCAGGGAGGAAATCCAGAGCCTCGGCTGGATTGGCCTAATGCTACAGCACTCTAAACAATGTATTTTACAGAGGTTATGGTTTCACTTACTCAGAGCACCTGAAAAATGCTGCTGTTTACAGGGGATTAGAGCTCTAAAAAATCCTCAATGCACTAAGAAGAAGTGGAAAAGAAAGCAAGGAAAGAATTGGAAGTTAGTCTGCCTGAGGGCTGCGCAGACAAAAACTTTTGTGCATAGAGAAAGGTTTTTCTGGTTTGTACCAACCTTGCTGCCATCTTCTGGTTCTCCACATATTTTCTGGTTTATCCTTTCCCCCTTTTCAGACAATATGGTCTTGCTTAAGTAAATCTGTGCCCAAAATCAAGCCAAGGTGTCGTGAACAGCAGACTTGTCCAACACATTATAAGTATGTTCATTTTTTAAATTTATTTTTATTGAGATTAAAAGTGTCTCCAGCTAGAGTGGACCAGCCACTGCCAGAAGGGACAGAGAGTTTCATCTATGCTGATGATCGTGCCATCACCGTTCAAGCAGGGAGCTCTGAAGTGGTTGAACAGAAGCTCTCCGAAGCCCTAGGTGTTCTTACTGCCTATTATAGGAAAAACCAGCTGATTCGGAATCCATCTAAAACACAGACATGTGCTTTTCATCTTAAGAACAGACAAGCATCCCGAGCTCTGATGATTACCTGGGAAGGAATCCCACTGGAGCATCGCAGTACACCCAAATACCTAGGAGTTACCTTTCAAATGAAAGATGGGTTTTCTGGGATTCTGCAGAGGCACCTCTGGGATGAAATCTTGCCTGATTCTTGCTTGGTACAAGGTCCTGAATTTCCATTAGATAGTTTGCAAGAAAAGTTTGTGAAATGCAATACTTCCCTCACCCTCTTCAGAATCCCTGTCCCAACCGTCTTAAGATCTGCAAATACCCAGATTAAGTTTTCTCAAACAATCATAATACCTGTATCTGAGATACAAATTGTAGTGCTGTTCCACCAAATCCTGAAAGATGGGACTTAATTCAGCATTAAAACATTTCTAGAGCTGTCGACAGGAAGCCATCATCATACAAGGCTCTGGGGGCACATACTGAAGTTACAGTCATGTTTTGAATATCCCTTGGTAGTGCTAGCAAATAGCTCAGGGTTTTTGTTTTTATTCTCGGTTATGTACCAGATCGCATATGGTAGATGTGAAAGAGATAAACAACTCTGGTAGAAGTTCAAACTGACAAATTTCCAGCTTTATTTTTGTGTACCAGTGAAAGAGTGGATGAAAACAAACATATTGAAACATCAGATGAGACAAAGGTGCTCCTGATCAGTGTAAAGATAGAATGGGACTAGGGATTCATACTATGCTGGATGTCAAAGTTTTTGCACACTTAAAGCCCATTACATCCATTTCTGGAGATGCTTGATCTGGCCATGCCTTAGGTACATCCCTTTTTAAAAAAAATCTTTATTAAGAATTTTTTTAAATCTAAAATTACAATAAAACATCAAATAACTACTTATAAAGCATAAGATGAACCTGCATTTCTCTATATGTAACTGCTTTGGCCCTGAGATCCTCAAGAGAGGCCCCACCACCACCACCATTACTTTGTACAGAGGCAGAGAAGTTTGGGTCATGTTGCTTTCACATACAGGAGAGGGCATTTTAAAACAACTTTGTTTATCTTTGTAATATTTTTAAAAGTTCTTTGGGGCAATTTTTGAGTAATCCAAGGGGAGATTTCAAAGGTTGACAAGAGTTGTGGTCCAGGAATTTGGGGAGAGTCAGCCTGGGAAAGGCTGCTGTAATACAGATGGGGCACTGAGGGTAAGAGGGATACGCTAACATGGACCACCAGGTGAGTTCACGGTTGCAATGTGAAGTAAAGATTTATACTGGGGATTCTTAGTTGCCACCTCAAAATAATGTCTCCCTCATTTTTCCTTTGCAGGTCGTGATATGGCAAGTACAACTTTGCCTGGGTATCCACCCCATGTACCACCAACTGGACAGGGCAGCTACCCAACCTCAACTCTTGCAGGAATGGTGCCTGGTAAGTTCTTTCTTGCCTGGCATCCTTGTGTATATATGTTTTTATCAGACAGTAAAATAGTTTGTGAAATGTTCAACTCTGCCTCGTTTGCAAAGTGTTTTGGTTTAGTGATGAACCAGCTGCAGGCTATCATGAATTGTACTAATTATTTGAAGTCTTGTTTATCAGGTCTTTAGTCTGGTTATGGAACTGAAACTGAAACGGATTACTCAAGTACAGTGGTTCTCAACCTGTGGGTCCCCAGATTATTTTGGCCTTCAACTCCCAGAAATCCTAACTGTGGGTAAATTGGCTGGAATTTCTGGGAGTTGTAGGCTAAAGCACCTGGGGATCCACAGGTTGAGAACCTTTGCTCTAGTATAAGGACTTCAACCACTGAGGCTGAATCCAACTCTTCTGAGGCTCCAATTTAGACCTCTGGTTTCTCCGAATGGTCATGCCTCTTTTTAAGGTTTACTTATGGGCAGTAAGTAAATAAACAAAAACAGGCTGATATTATCTACAGGGGTCTGTCTTTGAGGAGAGTTTGAAGCATTCATTTGGTTAAAAACACTAGCAGCTACTGTCAATATTTTAAATTAAGTCAGTAGATTCTCAACAACCTGCATTATTTGTTAGGGGTTTTTTCAGGCTTAATTTGTACTACTGTTTTGACCTTTAAAAGCCAATCTTTTTCATTCACTATTATGGTTGAATCGTTAGGCAGTTTTCAAAGCATTTTGGCATTTGTCTTCATTGTCAGTTCTTCTCCTCTGGTTTCTATTGTCCTGAAAGCTTTCTTCAAGAAGCATGTAGCCTGTGGGATGAATATCCCATGGATTGATAGTCATTCCTATTTTCTCTTCTGCCTGGGCATACCACTTGACTCCTGTCTGACTTTCCAAGGCTTTACTTGGCTCATGAATGTAGTATAACTTACCAGCCTAAAGCTTTACAATGGGAAAGAGCCCTTCAAACTGTAGCCTTTCCAAACCACATCAAAACACATTGTATGGTCTTTTTTGCTATTTCTTCCCATCCATCTTTGACTATGAAGAACCAATCAGTTAACACGTTGAGCCAAACACAGGCTTTCCTGGCTGAAATGTTAATACCTTCTCCTCAGTTGTCCTACCCACTCCACTTTGAGAATTTATCTTTCCCTGATGCCTGATAACCAGCCAAGTTTTCCTTCAGTTTGGCAAGATTTACACTAGGGAGAAGAGCTGGAGGAAAGACATTCCCATCAATGCCCAAGAAAGGTGAAAATTTGGCATCTGGCCCACATTGCTTCCCTGGAAATGGAGCAACAGGTTATGAACCAGGCAGAAGAACACAGCCTGTAAAATGTGCTTCCTGGAATTTGAACATAGGCTGAGCTGGCTGCCTTTAGAAATAGCTCTACCTCCTCCGTACACTTCTCCATGTCAAGCCAGTGAATTGTCGTGATTGCAGCACAGCCTTCTTCCACTCAATACTAGCATGACCCATCCATGTTCAGCACTCTGTTACATCTCTACCTCAGTCTCCTAAAGGAGTCATTAGAAGTACTCTGTAGTCATGATACAGTTGCCTCTCTCTGATCTCAATGGCTACCTACATGCCTTGAAATGTTAGAAGTGACTCCTGTTCTGTGAAGCTTAAACAAAAGAGTTCCAGGAGGCCACTTATCTGTTGCCTGTGGTATGCACAAAAAGTGAAAAACAGTCTTGTTTCAGTAACTATTCCACTGGGTGGTAAATTTTACTCACCTTGCCTGTTTCCTTATTGGAAAACCCCTTCTGCAAAGAAGTAAAGTGACTCAATCAGTGGTTGTCTTATGGGAAGATTTCAGAAGGTTTCCTCTTCTGGAACTGTACTGTGAAACCACGTTCTTTGTCACAGACTTAACCTTTGTCAGAGCAGTGCTGTCATTGAGCCTGGCATCACCCACAGCCTTGAATGAGCTATTTTCCAATATGTGTGAATCATAGAGACTACGAGGAGGAGGAGGAAGAAGTTGGCTACCAATAACATGGCAAGAAAACCCTATGATAGGTTCAGCTTAAGTCACCATACGTTAGAAAAAACCTGAAGGCACACAACAACAACTATAACATCAGCACATTGCCCAAAAATCTCATGTTGGCATTACTCAACTGCCTGATAATAGTATCTACTGTTTGTCTCTACCTATAATTGAGTAGTATATTGCAAAATATACAGCTTAGGGAAGTGGGAAGCACATCAATACATAGATCTGCACATATATTCACTGCTGATTGGAGAGTATTTTGTGGAAATAAAATACTGAAAACAGGTCAGAAATTCTAAGGAATTTGGCCATTCTAGAAACAAACCATTTTTTCTTCAAAATAGAAGGAAAACAAAGTTTAAATTATTCGGTAGGAATGAAAATGCAACTGTAGGTAAATGAGGTTTTTATAATACATATAAAGAAACTTTCCTTTTATCTTCTCAAAAAGGATTTTGAGAGATAATTGGAGCTTCTTCTTCTTCTTCTTAACTTCCTATCTCCTCTCCTTAGAAATAGTTTAATATTTTAGGTCTCCTAACAATCCCCTCTTTCCATGGACCTGAGAACAGCCTAGCTATCAACTCAACTTTGAGGAACGAGGAATTGTTTTGCCCAGCAAATTCCTAGCTGTTCTAATATTGAAGCTCGACTGGTAGTTATAGGACTGTCCTCAAATATACAGGATTTGCTTACTGTTTGGGGTTTGCATTTTCTCATGTAGTTGGTCTTTCAGTACTTCCTCCTTTGCATGCTTTTCTGGAGCATCCTAGACACTGGCACCAAAGCTCTAGGACCAGTTGAGAACATAGAGTCATAGTGTTGGAAGAAACCTCATGGGCCAACCAGTCCAAGCCCCTGCCAAGAAGCAGGAAAATCACATTCAAATCACACACACACCCCCGACAGATGGCCATCCAGCCTCTATTTAAAAGCCTCCAAAGAAGGAGCCTCCACCATACTCCGGGGCAGAGAGTTCCACTGCTGAACGGCTCTCACAGTCAGGAAGTTCTTCCTAATGTTCAGATGGAATCTCCTTTCTTGTAGTTTGAAGCTCACAGGTCACACCCAGGGTCTGTTGTAAAGGGAGCAGCAGTTAAACAGAATCAACTTCTGATGGGGAAAGTACACGTGTTTCATTAGTGATCTGGGCAGGAGATAGCTCAGTTCCTCTTGGTCACAAAAGCTCATTACCCTGCAGGCATATTTCCTTTCACTCCTCTTCAATAAACACCTTTCACACCCGCTGCTTCTTCTTGCCTCCTTCTTCTGGCTCCCCTTGACTGCTCTGGAGAGAAAGCGGTTCTTTCTCCTCTACTTAACCTGGACTTGAGAATTACTGTAAAGTATTTAGCATGACAATACAGATGGGGGAAAGGGAGCCAATGAGTCCTCTTTTAACAGGCACACAGAAGCTTTGTGCAGAAACTCCTATTTGATTTGTCTTTGAATGGTCATATTCCTTTCTTATTGCAGCTCTGCTGAAGTTCAGCTATGCTCTCCTCATAAAATTCCTTGTAAATTAACTCCTTCCTGGTCACAATTTGTCACTAGGAATGAATATCATGGCTCTGGCAACTAACCTTCCTCATGTCTGTGTTGTATTTCTATAAACAGACAAAGATTTGTTGTTATTCATTCGTTCAGTCGCTTCCGACTTTTTGTAACCTCATGGACCAGCCCATGCCAGAGCTCCCTGTCGGCCATCACCTCCCACAGCTCCTTCAGAGTCAAGCCAGTCACTTCAAGGATGCCATCCATCCATCTTGCCCTTGATCGGCCCCTCTTCCTTTTTTCTCCCATTTTCCCCAGCATAATTGTCTTCTCTAAGCTTTCCTGTCTCCTCATGATGTGGACAAAGTACTTCAACTTTGTCTCTACTATCCTTCCCTTCAATGAGCAATCGGGCTTTATTTCCTGAAGTATGGACTGGTTGGATCTTCTCGCAGTCCAAGGCCCTCACATATCTTTTCTCCAACACCACAGTTCAAAAGCATATATCTTCCTTTGCTCAGCCTTCCCTATGGTCCAGCTCTCACATCCGTAGGTGACTATGGAGAATACCAGTGCTTTAACTATGCAGATCTTGGATGCCAGTGTGATGTCTCTACTCTTCATTATTTTATCGAGATTGGACATTGCTCTCCTCTCAAGATTAAATGACTTAAAATCATGGGGAAGCAAGACAAGGGGCTCAAGTAAATGCAGCTGTTGACATCAAGTGGCATTGAACAGTGTGAGTGGTAGGCAATAGGGCCTCTCCATATATTGTTTTAACTCAGCTCCCAACACCATGCACTATTGACCATACTGACTTGGTGTGAAGAGAACTGCAATCCAGCAATATTCAGGGCCTACATTTGAACTACATGCAGAGAAGCAGAGAAGCTGCATTCCCTGATGCCTGGTAACCAGCACATGCAATTATCTTTGACTGCTGATTTGGTATAATGGTTACATTCAGCCCTCAGTGAGCCAGAAAACCCATTGGGAGACCTTTGGTCAGTCATCCTACTTCACAGGATACATGTGCAGCTAATGAACAGATTGTTAGAAAATGTCCAAATCTGTCCTCTCACTCCCTCCCTGTCTTAGTGTGTGACATGCCTTATGACTGACTTGCCCTCCTTTTCTTATTTTAGGGAGTGAATTCTCAGGAAATCCTTACAGCCACCCTCAGTACACAACCTACAATGAGGCCTGGAGGTTCAGCAACCCTGCACTACTAAGTGAGTATCTCTTTTGACAATCAGCTTCCCCTTCCATTTCTCCTACTCTCTCTTTTCTGTTTGTCTTTATTTTATTTTCCTTCTTTTTTTCTAACTGGTGAGTAATGGCTTAGACCCCTAAATCTGTCCTTACAGGGATTCCCTCAGCTGTCATAGAAGAGGGAGGGAGTCCACACTGCCCAGCAGCATGGCGCATGGTTCAGCCACTCTAAATGTCCCCATCCCATCCTCAATGTTTTGATGTTCTCCAGTCTTGACACTGCACCTACCTTTTCCTCACTGACATCATCTGTAGTGATGGGGTGCCAAGTTGGGGAGGGAGAGAGGAGGAAATCCCTCTGCTCCCTCCTTTCCCAGGGTTCCCTGTAATTCTGACTGAAGTTAGAATGAGCATTGGGGAAAAGGTAGATGCTGTATCACAGCCAGGAATCACCACAAAATGAAGGAGGCAGGGCCACCCAATCCTGGGGAATGCAGAAGGACCGCCAGGGCAATTGCAACTGGTTCCATTTAGGAACCGGTCCAGCTGTTCTCAATGCCCCTAAGCTGGGGAAAAGCCCAACTCTTGGGACAGGTGTAGAGCTTTGCTAAACTCTAGTTAACCTGCAACTAGGCTGAATTAAAGTGACATTGCCATAGATCAGTCTACTGGAGTACATAGCCATCACTAGGCTGATCCATATCTGGTCTAAATGGTCTGTGTAGATGTGTCCCTAGTGTTTTTTTTTAATTTTCTTCCAATGGACCTTGGAAATTAAATTAAGGAAGAAACATTTGTACACACATTCCAAATCATTTCTTACTTATGACAATCCTAAAGTAAACCCATTACAAGGTTTTATTTGCAAGATTTGTTCATGAGGAGGGTACCTTTTTACTCTTCTTCAGGATGAGAGAGTGTCCTGAAGTCACCCAGTGGATTTTCATGGCTGAGCAAGGGATCAAACTCTGAGTTATAAGCCACTACACCACACAGGCTCTCCTTCAGTTTGCTCTAGAGAAATCTTATTAAACGCAAAGAGAGGTTGTTTGAAATTACAAATATGCTTTGGATTAGGCTGCCAGGAAATGAAGGTCCTATTAGCATTGTCTGTAATTTTGTAATTGTGTACCTGGGAGTAAATCCCACTAAACCTCAAAAATTTACTTCCAAGTAGACATGTACAGTTTTTCTGCTTTAAAGCTGGAGTTATGGGGAAACATTTAATTTAGAAGTAAACTTGTACTGGAAACAGTAGAATTTGCTTCTTAGCAAACATACATAGGATTTCACTTGCAAAGAGGTGTGATGACAGTGAGGTCAACCCAAAAACCATAGCATTTTAGATAAGGCTATCATGTTGCTGCAAGAAAGCTTTCATGTTTTCTAGAAATTGTTATCTAACTAGGTTGAGAAAGAATTCTGGAGAACTTCCAAGTTTGTTGAGAACTTTAGGACATTTTTATTGTTCCTAATTAAGGGCTTTATTTTACTTCAGATATTTGATATCTACACACACACATCAACATCACTGTCATTTCTTACCATTTTAATACCTGCCTGGAAGTGAAAAGTTGTCATAATTATGTACATTTGTCTTGAAGCAAGTTCTATAGCTGAATCTAGTGGTTTACTGGTCCCAAGTACTAGTACAATCCTATATAAGGCACCTTTTTGGTTCCTGAGGGAAAATGATGTTGGCTTTTGATGTGATTCAGTAGAGCTCTTCTTCAGTTCTGCTCAAAAATTAAGCTGGGCTTATTCCACAGTTGAATATGTATATGACTACAGCCTTTGTTGCAGATTAGTTTATCTAGAAGACTGGCAACTATTTCCCTTCAGATGTTGTTGGACTGCACTTTAATTAATTTATTTTATTTTAATAAAATGTTAACTTCCAGTAACTGTATTTTATCCTAAAGGCACCAGATCTCATCTTAAATTGTAAACTAAGAAGGGTCAGCCCTGGTTAGGACTTGGATGGGAGAATTCTCAGAAATGCCAGCTGCTGTTGGCTAAGAAAAGAAGGAAAGAACAGGCAGAGCCACCTCTGAATATTCATTGCCTAAGAAAAGCCTATGAAATTCATGGAGTTGCTATAATTGAACGTGCAACTTAAAATCCCATACGTAGAGCTGTACTCTGCCTGCCCAATGGTGTGGGATGATGAGAGTTATGTTGTGGTCGATGAGAGTTATATGAGAGACCACTATTGCCAACCCCATTTTAAAGTAGTCCGTGGTGTGAGTTTTATTCTATATTTTAGTTAAAAGTAAGTGTATGGTAGTAGGAATCTAGATTAGGACCACCTCACTTGCTATGATGATGAAGCAGTTTAAGGCTATAGAATTTATTTTACCCCAATGCAATGTCAGTTTTATTAGCTTTGTTTCTGTAACAATGATTAATAAAATTCATTATGAATCAAGTTCCCTGTAAAGGTGTAAAGCACACCTTCCCTACAAGTCCCCTAAAACTGATGGGTATTTGTATATTTTGCCAGCTTTTTGTTGTTCACATACCTTAAACAGACTGTGCCCATTATATACTTTACTACATATTATACTTTACTACTTTTTATTCCAAAAATTGAAACCCTTTAAAAATAAATGTCCATCTTGTCCATTGATCCACATGCAAGGATCCTGATGTTAGTTTTCATTGACTACTATTCATCTAGTTTTCATCCCACCCACACACACACACACACTTTCATTCCCTTGATTTTGTATCCCAGAATGCAAAAAAGGCCTATGCTTTGTGACTGTCAACAAATTCAATGCAATGTAGAAGGAGTAGAAATAACACCTAAACCATAAATCTCTCACCCCAGAATGGAAGAAATAATAAAGTCTAAGCATTGGATCCATGATCTGCTTTCTGGGGATGAAAGAGCTGGTAGAACAAGTGAAGTGTCTATCTTCAACTTTCTCCTACCCCTCTACAGTTGCCTCTGCCCCAAGACAGTGTTAAGGGACCTTATAGAATGAATGGGTCACTGGTGATTCCTGGGGAGGAAGAAGCATCAAAGATTTCCCTGGTGTTGGTAGCTGGAGAAGAATTATTCATACTGAGAGAGGAAAATATTGGGGCCTAGATTTAAGAGTTTTATGTCATAGGCTCACAAAGCACACTGATGGAGCAACAAAACAGTACTATTACAACTGTGATGGTCCCAGCAGGGACATATGCTGGAGGTCACTTCCTATTGGATGCTTTACATCTGTGGCATGGCTTGTAATGTCTTTGTTTGGTTTTGGATTTTATGAATGTATCACATTAGAAATACATATGGTTGTCCAGACACAATTATCTGGATGTGGTGGACTACAGTTCCCGTCATCCTCCCTCAATCTGCCCCTCCTCAAAACCCCACCAATATTTTAAGTTGGCCATGGTGAGTATGTGTGCCAAGATCCACACATACTCAGACCCTTTGTCAGTAGGGTTCATAATTTCTGTAGATGTGACTGGACTACATATCCCCCACTCCTAAACCCATGATGGATATGTGTCAAATTTGGTCCAGATGTTTTGTCCCTGGCTATGAGACATTTCTTTGGATGTGGGAGCCATCCTGGAAAATACATACATGCATACATACTTAGTTAGGACCTCATCACACTTTCCAATGTAACCATCCTAGGATATTTATTTATTTATCATGTCGGGAGCAAACCAAACAGTTGTATTGCATTTTTAACAAACAAACAAACAAAACACAAAGTTTTCAATCTTGGTAGTTAATTAAATGTCCTTTGACCAGTAGCTGGCCACTTGGATTGCCTCTGGTGTTACTATAAGAAGGCCCTCCATCGTGCATGTAGCAGGGCTCAGGTTGCATTGCAACAACCTAGCAATCCTAGGATGCTTGCCAGCCAGTTAAGGGATGGCTGGGCACACAGCCCATCACATAACGTCCTTCAACTTCTAGTGAAGGTCCCACCCCCTAATTGTTGTGGAAGCATCATGTTGGAGCCAGCACACTTCTGCCCCAGTTGGGTGATGCTTCCCATGTGTGATGGAGGACGTGGCACCTGCCATTTCACCATGCGTCTTGGTGAAATGTCAATGGGGAGGGGGGAAAGCATGTAATACGGGTACTATATACATACATATTTTGACTTTTATTATATATACATAGATATAGTTAAATGTGTCTAGTATACATAATCAGATTGGAATCTAGGATGCAGCCCAATACTCTGGATCTCTTTTCTATGTGCTGAGCAGTAGGTAATGGAGTAACATAGGTTTCTGATGTTCTAGCCCAGAGGTCTTCAAACATTTTAAACAGAGGGCCAGGTCACAGTCCCTCAAACCGTTGGAGGGCTGGATTATAATTTGAGAAAAAACATGAATGAATTCCTATGCACACTGCACATGCCATATTTGTAGTGGGAAAAAAACACTTAAAAACAATACAATAATTAAAATTTAAGAATAATTTTAACAAATATAAACTTCTTAGTATTTCAATGGGTAGTGTGAGCTTGCTTTTGACTGATGAGATAGGATTATTGTTGTTATTGTGTGCTTTCAAGTCGTTTCAGACTTAGGTTGACCCTGAGCGAGAGCCGGGTAAATGACCTTCGAGGGCTGTATCCGGCCCTCGGGCCTTAGTTTGAGGACCCCTGGTCTAGCCTATTATACCGTCCTGTTCTCGTCTGTGTTCTCCCTATTGACCATTCACAAGAGCCTCTCCTGAGATGTCTGCCTCTCGTCCCTTTTAACATGCCCCCTTCTCTTTCTCTTTCTTATTTTATTTTACTGTATGTCCTTTCAATCAGTCCATTCTTCTCCTGTGTTAACTTTCAGGTTCCCCTTATTATTATAGTGCCACATCCCGGGGCTCCGCACCTCCCACTGCTGCCGCTGCCTATGACCGCCACTAGTTACCATGGAAACCACATGAAACTGCAGGGTGACAGCCTAGGCCTCCATATTGTACCTGTCTGATGAACATTCTGCACCCCTTGGAAGGATGAAGAAAATCGCTCCATGTCCATCAACCACTCCCTCCTACCCCACCCTCATCTTTTGAGACTGCAGGACATACTGGGATGTCACGTTTGCTACCACCAGATCGAAAACTTCATGTCCTTTGCAGTCCAAGCAAGCAAGTTTATTAGAGGATGGCAAAGACAGGCCTGTGATCAATTCTCCTGCTGCTGCTGTGGCGGCTAATGCCACGGCAATACTTCTGACTGTCCCACATGAATTGTTCTTTGACTCCCCGGCCTTCCGTTCCTTCCACACGAGGCTTCCCCGACCCCAAACTGTGAGAGGAGTCTGAGCAATAGAGTCTGCCCTCTCTTCCTTTGGACTGATGCAGACAGGAGTTCGCAAAGGTGACGACTGCTGACAACCCATTGTGTCCCTCAGAAATGCTCTTCTGTGAAAAACACTTCAGAACGAGAACAGGTTCCTGAAGCCACAAGCTTGGCTTATTGTGTTACCAAGGAGGCGTTCCACAAGGTTTTCTGTGAGCCATCCACTCCAATTTCTCCATAGGTTGGTTAAAAGAATTAGGCCTTGCTTTCCGCACAGTTTCATCCGAAGACTGATGGTGTCCATCCAGTATATCATAATTTTGCAGGCGGGCATTTGGGAGGAAGCCATCCCCACGTAACATAAGCGTAAGATTCAAGTCAGACAGGAGACTGGAATGATGTCAACCAACCAATGGCAAAATGAAGAACTATATAAATAGATATATAAAAAATAACTTTTTAATGCTTTGTCCTTAAGGTCTGTAAAAAGGAGGAAAAAAAGAACAACCCCCCAGTTTTCTAAAAGCAAGACGTTCCAGCGAAACTAAACTGAAACACCATCCCAACCTCAATGGTAGACATTATTTCTGAACAATAATTCTCCCCTTTCATTCATTCTTTTTTCTGTTTTCAGTGGGCATGTCCATGCGAGGTAGAGAAGAGTGCCAGCGCATTATTTGAGGGCACTGGTCACACTACTCAACTCTAGTAAAAACCAGGAAAGCGGGGGAAGTTAAATCTGCTGCCCTGGCCCTCTCCCTCCACAACATTTCTTTAGCAAGTTATCACTGCAAAAAATAAATATTAAAATTATATATTGCAGGGGGCTGGTCACATTTTGGGGCACATAACATTGAACCAAAACAATTTCTTGGTTCTTTAGCAACCAGATTCTGCCATATTTTCACACTGAAGAACTACATGGGGTTCACTTCTCTCAATGAAGCTATAGTATTCTGAAATAAGTGACACAAAGAAATTAAAAAATGTAATTCCTACTTGCTCCCACATTTTGACCAGGTCTCATAACACTCAGCACAGCACTTTTCCTGCTCTTAGGACTATCCATTTCCTTGTTTCTGAATGAACAATACTGGGCAGAATGGGGATCTCTAACAATGTCACTTGCTTTTCTAGAGACTAATGTCTTCCCTTGGTGGACTCATAGATGAAAACACAGTAAGTGTTCTACAGAAGGTTGCTGTGCAAAAGGAGTAGTTATGTATCATTGGTCTCATCTACACTACCATACAATCCAGTGTCTGAATTCCAATTATCTGCTTTGAACTGGATTATATGGCAATATAGACTCATATAATCCAGTTCATAGCAGATACTCTGAATTCAGAAACTGGATGATAAGGCAGTGTAGATCCAGCCATTCACTATCCCAGGGCGCACAATCCTTTTGGCCTTGAGGGCTATATCCAATGGGTAGTGCAGGGCACAGCACATGTGTAAATACAGATACCGGAAACCAGGTTCACTGATGAACAGGAGAGCCTTGTGCTACAAGTAGAAGGAAAATTGTGATGTGGGAAGCTAGGAATAATCTCCCCCACCCCCACCAGCCACTTGATTGAGATGTGGGTGGGCTCCTATTGATTTTGGCTGAAGGGCACAGTATTCATGCAAATTTCATAAGCAAAGGAGACTGACAACATCCAGTTGAATGGGATGTAAAGGAGAGAGAAAGTCTCAAGATGTAAACAATTGGTTTTATTCTCTGCCTCCTCACCCCCATCCTCCATAAATCCCAGTGCTTTTCAGCCAATACATATTTACATGACTGTCCTCAGGGGAGTGTTAAAGAAAAGAGGAAGACATGCAAACATTAATACAAAACATGAGCGGAATAGATTAAAAATGTCACAGGATACATATGCCTTATATTAACTTCCACATGAAATGATATCTATGAAGATTGCTACAGTCAGCAAAATAGTAACATGCATATGAAAGAGGACATTCCACATATTTATAAAGCAATCTGCAGAGATTACGAAAAGTGGACCTCCAATCCTGCAAATGACAACTAGTATTTTCCAGATTAGATGGTAGAATATTATAGAGTTGGAATGTTTCTTTTCTTGTATCAACATATCCACAAGCCCCTAACACATAAGTACTCTAATATAGTGTTTCTCAAACTCCGATCCTCTAGGTCAGTGGTTCTCAACCTGTGGGTCCCCAGATGTTTTAACCTTCAACTACCAGAACTCCTAACAGCTAGTAAACTAGCTGGGATTTCTGGGAGTTGTAGGCCAAAACATATGGGGACCCATAGATTGAGACCCACTGCTCTAGGTGTTTTGTACTTTAGCTCCTATGTCAGCTGTTAGGAATTGTGGGAACTGATGTCTCAAACATCTGGAGGAGCAGCCTTTGAGAAACACCGCTCTAATACATTTTCTCTTAATGCAATACATTATACATAGGCAAATTATTTAAAGCATGCATAAGGCACCATTCAGAAACATTAAGAACAAGAAATCAGTCTGCTAAATCACAATTCATTAAAGGTAATATAAGGCATTTGTATATAATATTTTTGATATATTCAGTTCATGATTTGTAATATAGTTGTCCATCCTTTCACTTTTAACAGTCCTTCAAGAAGGATCATACAAACACTGTTCAGCCAAACCATAAGAAGCTTTTTTTCTTTTTTGAATATTGGAAAAATATACATCCCAATGTTCTGTGTCTCCTTTGTTATCAAACTCAGATTTCATAACCATATTATCTCCTTTTGCAAGCATACTAAGAAGCATCCTATTGCTAAAATTGCAATGTATGCAAACTCTCAAATGTTAGAATTGAAATAAACATGCAGATAGGACAACTTTATGCAAACCAGGCATATCTGCACTTATTGTTTTTATTTTAAAATGTTTGTTTGAATCCAACATTTCCTCCAGCCATGTTCCTAATGCTCCAACCAGTGAGCAATCTTTGCTGATTCCTCCTCTGCAGCCTCAAGACCATCTCCAGTGTTTATCTAGAGCAGTGGTTCTCAATCTATGGGTCCCCAGATGTTTTGGCCTTCAACTCCCAGAAATCCTAACAGCTGGTAAACTGGTTGGGATTTCTGGGAGTTGTAGGCCAAAACACCTGGGGACCACAGGTTGAGAACCACCGATCTGGAGGACCCTTAATAACACCTGGAATGGCCTTTCATGGGTAGGGGTAGGAGTAGAGGACTGCAGATCAAGGAGGGATCAGCACAGCTAAGATGCCTCCCTTATTCTACTATTGGAAATGCACTACTGCTTCAGAAACTGTCTAGACACAGCAGAACGCTTCCTTCTACACAGAATATAGATCTGGATGTGTAGGAGCTGGGGAAGGAATTGCATTCTGCTTAAGAAGAAAATGGCAGATTATAGTCCAGGCACAGCTATCTTGAATACATCTGGGGAGTAAGATCAAAGCAGATAATTCTTCTAGGGCTACAGTTTTCAAAAAGTAAAGCAGGAGTAAGCAGTCCAGGGAAGACAAAAACATCCTTGCCACCTCTCCCTAGTATCACAAGGGAAGCCAAGAGGCAGGGGGTGAAGTCACATTCACATAAGTATAAAAAGGGAGGTTTTGTGCCCCGTTTTTTCTACAAATTGCCAATACAGCATGGAAATAAGAAATGACTGTCATAGGAGAGGAGGTTATCTTGTTTCACAGGCCTCTTCCACGGGATTTTAAAAAGCATGTTGCTAAACAGGAGCCCCATGGCGCCTTTCCAAGCTTCTGTGTGGCCCCAGAGCAGCTTCTTTTTAATTCCTCTGTAATTCAGAGGACACTGAGTTGTGGATGCTCATAAAAACAAGCCTTTCTGTTCCACCCCAGTCTATATATTCATGTTTGTGCTTTATATATGCCATTATCACCCTCCAAATTATAAAATGAAGTACAAAAATCTTTCTGTAAATATACTTGCTGTTTTGTCTCTTCCACAGCACACAATTGGGGTGACCAAAAAGCATTTCATTATCATATCTATATCCAAATTCAGGCTTCTTTAAAGTTTAAAAACACAAGGACAGCCACTGCTCATGCATATGCGGTATTTAAAACCCTGTTTTTAAAGGAGGGGATTTCATTTGTCCATTGACTAGTTTTGAATATGATTCCCAAAATGTTGCTGTTGGTGGGACCAACAGCAACGTGCCCCTGAAGTCCAGCTGTTCCTGGTTTCATGTTACACATCCAAGACAGGAAGGAAAAGTTATACAAATATTGGCATATTTCAGTTACGTAAAATTCTCAGGTCCAGAAAAATGTATGTGAAGGAAAGAACAGCTGACAACAATTCGACTTTTCATTCATCGCCTTTCACTTAACACTGGTAGGATCGAGGGAGAATGTGTATCACTTCACCACGGCTGGGTTAGTTTCAGGGCCATTAAAATCCTGTTCAGTTTAGCCTGCCTTGATTGTAAGGAAGGGTAAGCAGTTCTGTCTAGAACATCCTATGCAAAGGACCAGGCTGTGCCTTGGCCTTTTCCACCACCTCTTCTCAAGAACCAGCTGTGAATGTGGGTAGTACATTTGCCAAAGACTGTTTAATGTTGGCACCTGGTTGTTCTGAGTTATGGTTCATGGATTGCATTGTAAAGCAGTATTATTGTTGAGTTTAGGAACCGACATGGGGATTTATGTGATGATGCTATACAAAAGACAACCATCGGTATCCATATATATCCCACCGGTCTGGACTATGCAGAAAACACAAAGATTCTATCAATTATTTAATATTTTGTTATTTGCGGGGGAAATTACTGCTTTGTAGGAAGATGATGTGTGTAATGTGAAGGCAATTCCTCTTGTATATAAGCCCATTCTGCATCTTCATCTTGCTAGTGATTGAAACAGACTCACCTCATTGTGTAGATAAGGCACACATTCTCTGTACTGTTCAAATCTCATTGTGCTCACTGAAAACAAATCTCTGTGTTCAATAAAGCACAGGACAAATTCAAAATCTGTGGGGAGGAACCACGCCTGACAGGGCCTTTCCCCTGGCAACCTTCAGCAGCCCCAGAAGTGGTTCATCATTTCTTTTCCCTTTTCAAGTAAAGCAAAGGACAAATGCAGGGAAAGAAACATACAGACACACATAATGAACAAAAAATAAAATTCTATGCAAAAGGGAGGGGTGAAAAGATGTTGGTATCTTTTGCAACTCTGCTGTGGATTCCGCTACTTTTACTACCATGACGTCTTCCTCCGTTGGCCTGCCTTTGGTTTTGCTCCCCTTCCAGAGAGGGCTGCCTGATGTCCAACACAAATAGATGGATTCTAGATTCCGGGATTATTTTTCCTCGTCTTTCTTTGGACGCTCCATGCCTTGCCTCATTGTGCTTTCTGTTATCCCCAGCTGTGCAGTGAGAATGGGAATAATAAAAAACAAATGAACACCCTCACTCACAGGGGTGTTGTCATTCTTTGCTTGCTGATATTGGCTGAGTAGTTGGGCATCTTTGGGGAGAAAACTTGGGGGAGAAAATTTTATATCATGCCATCTTATTCTTTTATATCTATGTTTTTATCTGATCTTCAAATTCCTTCTCACAGTCCAGTGTGGTGCTAAAGTGCTCTAATTTATCCATCAAGGGAGAAAATGCTTTTCCACTTACATAGTTGGCAAGGAACTACTCCTTTGATCATGCATCTCCATTAGATCATAGAATCATAGAGTTGGAAGAAACCTCATGGGCCATCCAGTCCAACCTCCTACCAAGATGCAGGAAAATCACATTCAAAGCACCCCCAATAGACAGCCATCCAACCTCTGTTTAAAAGCTTCTAGAGATGGAGCCTCCACCACACTCTGGGGCAGAGAGTTACACTGCTGAACAGCTCTCACAGTCAGGAAGTTCTTCCTAATGTTCACGTGGAATCTCCTTCTATCGCATATTATCTCTTCCATACCAGCCTCCCACAAATGATATTAAAAATGGAATTGGAGATGAAAGATTTTTGTTACAACTATATAATTGTAAATACGCCTCAAAAGCCAGTATATTTAATGGTGGTGACCCTTTGCACAGTTTGCCACCCATGGATAGTAGTAGGCAAAATACTGGGAGGGTTCTGAATAAATTTAGATCAATATAAGGTTGCTAAACAGACAGAAAACATGTAGGCTTATCTCCTTTTTGAAAAAAGAATTCATTCTAAAATTTGTCTAAACTACTTTTTAGACATAATAGTTAATAATAATGGCAGCTTAGTGAACCATATAGAGATGAAGGGGAAACAAATATCTGGGACATAGTAACACAAGACTAACCTGCATTGGGTTCTACCTACTTCCACACACTTAGGAATGGAAATGCTGAAACTTAAGTCAAAAATGGCCATGGATTTAAGGCCATTTCATCCATATGAGCCTTCAAACAGCTGTATTTCCACTTGGGTAGCTCTCCGTTTTCTGATTATTGAGGTTCTATTTGAAATATAACAAGTATTTCCTTTTTAAATGTTAGCTCATTCATGCTTATACACACACATGCACACATGCATACAGATTCACCTTTTAGATGACCAGAAGATGGTATTGCTTGATGGAATGAGGGCTATGATACTTTGGGAGTGCATCTATACTGTAGAATTAATGCAGTTTGACACCATCTTAACTGCCATTGCTCAAAGCTATGAAATCCTGGGATTGGTAGTTTGGTGAGGCACCAGCACACTTTGGCAGGGAAGGCTAAAGATCCTGTAAAACTACAGCATTGAGCCATGATTGTTAAAATAGTGTCAAACTGCATTAATTTTACAATGTAAAATGCCCTTAGGCTGGATCTACACTGCCATATAATCAAGTGTCCGAATCCAGAATATATGCTTTGAACTGGACAATAGGAATCTACACTGCAATACAACCCAAATAAAGTTCAAAGCAGATAATGTGGATTCAGAAACTAGATGATATGACATTGTAGGTGGGGCCAAAGATTTCAGGAAGTTCAGGATTTTGTTCCTTTCTAGAACTAGGAGCCAAAAATTGATATTTCAGAGCTCTAACAACAACATAAAAACGTGGGAAAGGGGTTCAAAAACCCCATTACTTTTCTACCGTGGTATTTGTGCTCTTTAAGATAATCCCATTGATTGATTGGGTGTTTGATATGAGTTGCAGTGCAGCACAATAGCAAAGGAAGAGAAGGCAGGTAGAAAATAGGGCGAGGGATGAAAAGTAGGGGGATGCAATATTTAAAGCTTGTCATTGATGGCTGCATTTCCTTGTGGATACTGTGCTAGAAGACACCTTGCAGCCCTGGGCAAAATCAAAAGCGATGGCTATCAATTTTAAAGGAGGCGATTTGCTAAATATTGCAACCTCCTCAAGGAATCTTTCAAGTTAAATTGCCTTTCAAACTAATCCCAGCCTTTTTTTCAAGGCCCTTGAGCTAGTATATATATGGTTCTCCCCTCAGCCCTGTATTTTATCCGGACAATAATCCTTGTTAGTTGAGTGGGGATTTGAATATCGGTTTACCAATCCTAGTCTAACAGTAACCACTGCACGATCTTACTCTGGCTGGATTTCAGCTGGTATTATTATTTATTTGGAGATACATTTAAGATGGATAATAAATCAACGGGTGTTATAAATACACACAGACACATGATTTAAGGCTGATCTTAAATTATGGTAAATCAGTTGTTTTAAATTAAAGTGAATCTCTAAATAACCGGCCTAATAAAAACATATGGAGGCAATATATGGAAATCTGAAGACTTGGGGAGTAAATGAAAATCTTCAGGTCAGTTTCTTAAGTTTTGAAACCACTATAAATCAACATTCTTTTTCCCTGTATCCTCCCCACATTTATATGCATTTTAACATAGAGCTCCTTTGTTGATGGCTTATAGATGGAAGAGCACTTAAAATTAAAATAATAGAAATGAAGGCATTTTCTATAAACTGTGCAACATCTTGATCCTTTGATCCATAAACCAACCTTTGAATTGAAAATGGTGGGGTTTTCCACTAGAACAGGTAAATATGTATTGAAATTTTCCAAAGCATGTGCAGATTCTGATTTGTGGAGACCCACTATTCCAAGATCAGTGACAAATAAAATAAAATGGGTTATCACAACCCTCTGCATGACAACTCCTCGCCTTCAGGTAGTCAATCCCAATAGCCAGCAAACATCTATAGTTATAATGCAGACATGTGACAATTTAAAAGAATTATACAGTCCTTCAACATCTCTCTCAGCAAAGCAGCATGACCTTTTCCATAAATCCTACCAGATCCTTCAGCCAATTTAACAGAATCCAGTGGCCAATTGATACAAAAGCCACCACGAGATCAAATAAAACCAAGAGAGAGGTATTGCCCCTGCCAGTCTCCAGAAAAATAATATTCATCTGAGACCCCCAAAGCAGTCTCAGATCAAGCCCTAAGCTGAAAACAAAATCAATACACTCAATGACTCATTCAGAACATCAGGCTTAGAACATCAGCCACACAATCCATCCATTTTCTTAACAGACATACATTAAAGATTGGGCAATAAATGAATCATCCAATAGTAAAGCTGGCTTCTTCAAAAGAGGAATAATTTTTGCCTTCTTGAGGGAATATGGAAAATGTCCTCTAAGTCAGAAATGAACAGGCTTCCAAAATCCTTACAGGCCACTTTGGCAGCTTTGGCTCAGAAGCAGTACATTAATCAAATAAATAAACAAAAATATGACAAATGCATCAATATGCCATGGATTCATCCCAGCCTTCTGTTACCACAGGAAAATGTTACACAGCAAAATAAATTAAAGTGAAACTACCACAAGGTTTCATTGGCCATTCCGCCATGGACTTTGTTCTAATCGTGCCATCAAATGCAAACAGTTTTATCAGGAACATATATTGCAAAAGAATTTGAGACTATCTGGTACTTTAGTGACTTAAGTGTGGAGAAATACAGAATTTAGTTCTCATGACAGTTGTGCTGTATGTCAATGTGCAAATGCAATGGTAGCAGAAAAAGAGACCCTCTGGCTATGATTACTGCCACACAGTGCAGTCCATACAGTGGACTTGGCAAAGTGTTTAGTAAACTGAAATTAAGTTTTTCTTAGGCCCGTAGCCAGGATTTCGATTCGGGGGAGGGGGGCTGAGTTTTTTTCAGGGGGGGGTTGGGGGGGCTGAGTTTCGGGGGGGGGCTGAGTCTGAGTGAAAGAGGGTCTACCCTAGCAAACCTTTTGTATCATTACCCCAATACCCCCATGCATATGGGATATATTATGGTGATCAGATCATGATATGAATAAACATAACAGTTTAAATAATGCACCAGTAAGGCCTTTTCGCGAACCACCATGAGAATTTCGGGGGGGGGGGGCCTGAAGCCCCTCAAGCCCCCCCCCCCCCCCCCCCCGGCTACATGCCTGGTTTTTCTCCATAAACTATAATATTCTCTGTCCACCAGAAAGATCATAAGGTGTCAAGGGGCTGTCCATGACAAGACTGTGAAGCAAACAAGTATGTTGAGACTGAATCCCATCTTAGGAGAAAAATGAGATATAAAAAAAATCAATAATTAAAATAAAATAATTTCATTCTAAAGAGTGTCCAGTTTCTGGGGTCAATGCCCAGTCCTGCAAAATGTCACAGAGATTATTACACCAAGGATTCCACATGGTCACCATGTTCTAATGAAGACTCTATCCCATGGAGCTTATGAGCCGCAACTATCTGGAAGCAGTGGAATGTAATGGTCAGAGGCCAGACTTTGAGAAACCCTGGTTTAGATCTCTACTGAGGCACTAAACATACAGGGTGACTCTGTGTGTATGCTTCAAAATATAATACCTCGCAGATTTGTTGGAGGAGTTCATACACCTAATGTCTATGCCTGTGCCTTCAAGTCACCTGTTGACTTATAAAAATGTTTTTCAGACAATTCCTCTTCACACAAAGCCAAGATTGGATTGGATTATGTAATCAATATACAATATCAGCAGGTGCAGTTGTGAAAAATTCAAATGCTCAATTTAGTATGGTGAAATCTAGAGCTGCCATGTATTCTAGTTGATTAACACCCTCCCTCCACTGTATTCTAAGGACCTCATCACATAGATGGGGTCCAGCAACATTATTTGCCAGCCTCCGTGGTGAATCAGGGCTGCAACAGGGTAACAGTAGGGCAATCTCAGCACCCTGGCTACCAGCTAATGCTTCGCCATCCCACATGGGGAAGCATCACTGCTCCATCAAAGTCCTGTTGTTCCTTATAGAACATGGGATGGCTTGTGTGTTGGCGATGGCGGTGCCCCACCAGAAGTTGCCATACATTGTTTGACAGACAGCATGGGGCTCCATGGGCAGACTGGGGCAGAAGCATCCTAGGACGCTTCAGTTGCCTTGTGGGATAAGGCTGCATATGATTCCCGAATCAATGAAAAT